TTCCTGCTCCATCTAAATCAGGGATGGGCAATTACTTCAGCTGGAGGACCGCTTAATGACTTTTGGTGAGCTGTTGAGGGCTGCAAGGGTAGCCCCACCCTTTGGACAGGTGCCCCACTCCCTAGTTGCCATCTTGGGACCAGAAGTGCCGCCCCTAACACCTGAACTTTGCTACCCGAAATCCCTCCTCTTGTCCCCAGAAGTACTCCTTGGGGGCGAGGAGTTGCCCTCTTGGAACCAGAAAAAAAATCATATATTAAAAGTCAGACGTCTACTATAGCATATTTAAATTTTATTTAAAAATATATTTTGTCCTGATTTATGTGTGTTTGCATAGTGTATATAGAAGTGATTGCATTATAGCTCAAAAATAAAGTCTTACTCTTATATATTGTGGGGGGGGTGGAGGAATGTGTGGGGTGTGGTTGGTGGGTGGGTGTGTGTGTGTATGTTGGGTTGGTGTGTGTGTGTGGGTGTGGCTGTGTGTGGGAGGGTGCAGGGTATGTTGGGGGTAGGAGGGTGTAGGTGTGGGCAGGTTATGGGTGGGTGTGTGGTCAGGGTGTGGATGTGGCTGTGTGAGGTTTGTGGGGTGTGGGAGAGGGTGGGGGGGTGTGGGGACCCCCCTACATGCCTTCCCCATGGCGCCCAGCCCCCACCACTAGCAGCAGCAGCAGGTGGCAGGCTCTCGGGGTGCTCATGGCCTATGCAGGCATAGCCTCCCAGGAGCATGCGGCTCCAACCAGCTGGAGGAGCTGCATGTGAAGGCAAGGAGTGGAGCCAGGCCAGCCTGCCTCTACCATGCAGGGCTCCCCGTGGCCATGTGCAGATCTTGGGACTCTCGCACCACTGGGGGGAAGCTCTGCACAATGGAGCCAGTGGCCTGGCTCCACTCCCCGCCACCACATGCAACTCCTGGGACTCCACCAGGAAGCAGGGATTGGGGCTCCCCATCACTGCCAGCAGGGAGCTGCACATGGCAGGAGGGAAGGCAGCCAGGTCCATTGCATGGGGCTTCCTCCCACTGCCACATGAGTCCTGGGAGCTGCATGTGAGCTGCAGTGAACCCCATGTGATGGAACCAGGCCAACGCAGGCTCTGTGCTCCTGCCATCCTGCTGGGTACGGGCCCCAGGCTCCATGCTTCCACCGGCTCTAGCCCCATTCTCCATGTTCCT